AAATTATCTGAATCTCTCGCTGAGAGTTTCATTCTTCATTTCACCAGTTCTCACCTTAGCTAATACCTTATGCAGAATAAAAGCAGAAAGCAATTTTAAAAATCGGTGAAACCAGGAGAAAAGTTTATATTTACTTGTTCCTGCGTATAATCATTATGATATTTATTCAACTTCGATGAATTCTTCCAGAAAAGAAGTTCCATCCTCAATCAGATTAACTATGCCATCCTCTTTTAAGTGTTGTGCTCATGTTCCTGTCTGCATTTGTGAGCAGGCCTAAGCGAAGTAGATCATTAAGGGGTCTTGATACGGCGGAGTATTTGATCGAGAACAGCAAATGCACTTGCGTTGGAGTGCAGAGAAAGGCCAATGGAGGATATCTTCTCAACTCAAAAACCCACAAAAACTTCTGGCTACTGGCTTGAGGATATGATATATTACTTATTGTAGTTTGTAAATGATTCAGAGCCTCTTCCTCTCCACCTATTTTCCAGTTGATGTTGTACAATCGATTATTGCTTTTGAGTATTTTGGTTGAAATAGAGGTAGATGAACATATACAATAAGTGCTAAAGTGCAAAGGCTGATAGCAAATGCTACTCAAAACAGAGGCAAGCTCAACAGGGTTGTATTACATAGCTCACGTAGTAGTAGGCTAGTGACATGCATGCTTATCCAGGTGCTAAAGAAGTGTACTTGGGAAAAAGTCCATGTGTGTAGTCGAATAGTCTACAAATTTTACAACTTAGAATAGCTCAATCTAGCTAAAAGTGTAACTAGGGAAAAGTAAGTTACTTGTGTACTGAACTTCTCTAAGTTCTACCCCCAAAAAAAAAAAAACTTCTCTAAGCATATTTTCAAGATGTCCTCCAAATCCAATGTAGAGCTAAAGATGACACTGAAGAAATAAAGGAATAGAAAGAGAAGGACGCATGATAAGCTTTTGTATTACCTAAAGATACAGAACAAGAATCATACAGCAAACCTGTGGGAAAAGGCTTCTGCAATCCTGAAGTTCAAGGGGGGAAAAATTGCCTCCTGATGTCAAAGCATAGCAATTCAATATGAGGCCAAGCCTCAACCATACAAGAAAGAAGACCTATAGAAGATGTAAAAAAGTTTGGCCAGAAATTTGATTGAGAAAGCAGGGCAAAATATAGGACCTATACAAAGCTATGAAAAGCTTAAAGCTCGTCACGCATATGCCGTTCCAATGGCACATCCAACAAGGGAACTGCATCCTCGTTCATCTGGGGAATATTTACACCATTTCCACCACCTCTAGGTAAAACCCCTGCTTCGTTTACCACACCACCTTTTACAGCATCCATAAGCGTCCTCTGCAACTTAAGCAGCCCAATACGCTTTGAAACAACATAAAGAACAGCAAGGGAAAAAAGAAGAAATCCAACAACCATAATTATCCTGCCCATGGAAAGCCAAGCATTAGACTAGCAGATGCAGGTCAGAAGCAAAAGTGCAGAAACATTTTCTCCCCTACCTGTCAATGACATCCTGACGTTGCATTGTCGAAAGAAGGTTTCGAGTTCGCATTAGGAGTGAGCGGTGACCTCTGTACTCGCTCTCAGCCTTCCCTAATACTCCAGTTGATTCTTCTGCAGTATTCAAAAATTATATTTTGTTATTCAGCTTCAACAAGTACAAATTCATGAAAGAATAGACAGCTCCATATTTCCCAATATTATGATAAATAAAAGACTAGCTAATCTTGCAATAAAATGCCATGCAGCAGGATGAACAGAGAAAATTTCTTCCAATGCTCTTAGTAGAAAATCTTTGGATACATATCTCAGCCAAAAATGTAACGATCTAAATTCTTAAAAATAAATCTCCAGCGCAAGTATTTGAGGTGCATTATTAATCGTCTAGTTTTGAGATTAGAATACATCTCATCACCTCAACTTTATTAAACAACGAATATAGTATTTATATTGTGACCTTAATTAAGTAGTTATATCAGATATATGGAATAACCAAACAAAAGCATTCAGAAACATCAGTATTAGAATTTGAAATGAGAATCACGCAGCAGACTAGCTGAAGAATTAAATGTCAATCATCTTCCCCAGCGAAACAAAGTTAATTTCTCCAGGCCCCAAATTAATGGAACTGCAAATGCCTACTTTTAGTCAACATGACAACATTCATTCTACATATCCAATCCAAGAATGACCCACAAAGAATGCTTGAGAAACTTGTGCATAAGAATAAAATAACAGCTAACTAGTATTATTTGCTTAGGAAAAAGGTAAAAAATAAGTATTTTGAGATAGAAGATACTAGTTCAAGAGCAAATATCTATATTAGGGAAAAAGAACTCACCAAAAGTCACAAGTGTGCTTGCACTTCGATCAACTTCCTGTAACATTTACTAATGAATGAGAAACTATCATATACACATCAGGAAAAGGAATAACAGAGACATATAGGTACTAACCTGGACCATCAGCTGACGGGTGCGTCGAAGGCTCTCAGTGATACTTTCAGCTGCAGATGTCATTCCTGCTTTTGTCCTAATAAGTAGTATGATAATATAGAACGTGTAAAGTCACATTCTTGATCAATAAGGATTCCTCTATCATTCCTAAAACCACAAGAGACAATCAAGTAAGGTTTTAGCAAAGCAGAAGCATATTAAACTTACTGTAGATTCCGCCTCCGAATGGTAGACTCTTCTCCACCTCCCAAAAGAAGCTCCCTCTGCAGTCAACCAACAATATGCAGTTTAAACACCTAACAAGCAGTGGAACCAACATAATGTAGAAAGCTCATTACCTCTTGTTGAGCAGTTTTTCTGATATTCTCCTTAGCTCTCAGATTAGCTTTTCTCAAACTTGATCTCAAGCTGCATTTCCAACAAAATAAATGTGTAACATATCACCATGTAGATATTCCTCACAGATATGTAATGTAGTCATGTGTTAACATAAACACATCTCTTTGAATCAATCATTCATAACAACAAAAGTCACAAGAAGACTTCTGCCAACAATTTCTGGAGTTGACATAATCTTAGTCTGTGGGCATGTAGCCATTCTCTCACTCACTCACACATACGCGCGCGCGCGCACACACATTCTCTCTCTCTCTCACAACATCATATATGAGTACAGGCTATATATATGCTCAAAACAAAATTTTTCTTTGTGTGCCATACCCAGCAGCCAAAAGAAACGACAAGTAGAAAGACTTAAACTTTGTAAAGATTTATGACATGAAACAAAACTATAAACCCCAGAGTGAATCTACAATGAAAACTTCTAGTTCTTGACATGACATTGATTTAAGTTCCTGAAAATAAATGGTCAAGAATTCATCATGTGACCTTTTATAACACTTCCAGATCAACCAATTTTAACACAAATCTCTGATTTCAATAAATTTATCAGCAAACCTAAAAAGATTTCCGCATTTCAATCATCTAAACATCTTAAGCAGTTAAACTATCCCAAGAAATGCCTATGAATGTCCACAAACTGGTTGCATATATCATCAAAATTTTCACATGTATCTACGAGCCTTCCAATCCCATGTCATAATTTAAAATACAGTAATACACATTAAAAAAAAACAGCACAATGCTTGTCTTATCAGAATATAAAGTTTCCATTTTTCAATTCAGTAAGTCACCTACATTTTACACTTAAAGAAGCTCCAGAAAAAAAATTTAAAAAAAAAACACAGTTAAATATTAATATTAAACAGAAAAGGGTGCCCCTAAAATTTGTTAACATGAAAAAAAAATGAATAAAGCGGGGTACCTTTCGATTCGCTTCTGCCAAGAATTAGCCAAATCTTGAGCCTGTTGAACTTGATCATCAGAGGGAAGTTGAGGGGCTAAGAGATCAAGCTTAAAATGGAGCGACTGCAGAAGATTCAAACCATCTTGAGCAAGCCCATTTAATCTTGGTAATGAATTTTTACTCTGATGGTGCTCTTCTTCTTCTACTGATGAGGATGATAATTTTTGGCTGGATTTTCCATAATCTTCAATTGATTTAATATTTTTTGAAAGCTGTTCTTCTGTTTCTCGAAATTCTTTCTTCACCTTCTCCACTTCCTCTACCACTGGGTCCATGTCGTTTTTCATGCTCTTGGCGGGTCGTTTTGAGGTCGAAGATTGGAGGTTACGGTGGGATTTTTGTAAAAGAAACTGGAAGGAGGAAGGAATAGAAAAGGGAGCCGGTTTTTGAAGTAAGGACGGTTTGCACCGGTTGGACCGGCTGAGATATGACAGTGGGATGGTTCGACCAATTTTTATGCAGTAACGCCTTAATTACCTTCATTAAGGTGGAAAAAAGTCCTTATTTTTAAGTTGAAACACACTAATTTGAAACATGAGTGTATTTGAGTTGAAGATTATTCTGAAAATTCTACGAAATATTTTTTTGACGTGATATATATGAAATAAAACAATAATTTAAAAAAAAAGATAATGTAAAAAGGCGTTTGAAAAATCTCAATGATTTTTTTATTATAATTTTTTTTTTTTGCAAATAATGTGCAGTCCCAAAGTTTTCCATTTGCAACTTATAAAAATTAAGCTGGTTGTAGATAGATTTGATGATATCTTATTATGATTTGATTTATATCTTAAATGATAAAAGTTATGGAAAAATGTAATCCATTTGTGTCTGTTGAACCAAAATGTAGTCATTTTCGGTTCTCTATCAGTCTATTTAGACTTTAACATTCCAATAGTGGTCAATAACCAAAAGACAGCCTTTTTGTATTCTGTTTTTGTATTCATGATCCTCCACTGCTAAGAATTTCTATTTTTTAAATAACTATAAATTCGAAAAATGCTCCTTTTATCACAAGGCAAATGAGAAACATCCTTGAATTAAAAGCTAGCTCTGTTGGATCCTTAACTGGAAATAAAAGGCATAAATAGAACATTTATGGTCATTGTGAATAAGTGTAAAAATGATTGCCTGATCCAACAGGTCAATCAAAGATGGCATATGAAACTGTGGAAAAAAGGAACAACTTGATGTATTATTAATCAGTAGGCTAAAGACAGTTGAATCAATACATTGATATTCCATCATGAGAACAAGACTCCTCAAGTCTGAAATGGAAAAGAACACTACTGCAATTTGGATTCTAATATGGACTACTATCTAATAAACTTTGAAGAGCTTACAAATTGAAACTGCACAAGATAAGAGTATCTTTATGAATTTCTCTTAAACCCCAACTTGAAAAAGAAACTATTGCTACGCAACTGTGCAGAAAAGATTGGAACTTTAATCACTCAGAAAACGTTATTCTTGATAGCTAGACTATCTGAAGTAAGAAAGCAACAAATCTCGAGCTCAGAAAGCTGTCAATTTGTAGTAGCAACTCTTTCCAGTAAGAAGAATCTGATAGCCTTTGCCGCAGGGACACTTGAAATGGAGAATCAGACACTCCCCATTTCTCTCCACCCAAACAGCTTCTTCGCAAGGTCCTCCTTCACTTCCGGCAACTTGGCACACTTCAGAATTATCCTGTGCAAACTTCAGAGTTCAGAAATGGCACACAATTGATCAACTGGAAATTAAATTTAGAGTTACAACTAAACAAAGATTATCAGAGGAAGAACCGCAACAAAGAAGCAGACACCTAAAAACTGCACCATCAGAACAAATGAAAATTCAAGAAAGATAAGGGGAAAAAAGAAAATGGGAAAATGTCATAAGATTGATTTAGAACTAAATTAAAACTACCAACAAGGGACTACAACAAGAAACTCAAAAAATAAAAAAAAAATTCAGATTCCAACACGGATTCAAGAAAAACTAGCAAAAAGTATGATGAAAACATAGGATTTGATAGAAGGTATAGTGAATGATTGATTGTCGGACCTTTGAAAGATCGTCATTATCTTCAGAATCAGAGCAGCTATCCTCTTCACCTTCCTTTATGACTTCATTCCACCATTGTCTCATTTCTCTCAGCCTATCCTTCATTCTTTTCAGCCTCTGTATATTCAACAAAAGAAGAATAATTGGTGGGGTAAAATACGCCCAGAAGATTGGCGGAAGTCTTGGGTAGAATCAAAGGTAAAGAACCCAGAAAATACCTTGGTATTAGGAGTCTCTTCTTTCAAATTCAGGCCAGCCTCTCCAGCACTTGGTGACCACGTGACTTTTCTTGCTGCTGGAGGCCGAGGCGGTGTGGTGGTTGTCACCACCTGATAAGAAGCTGAAGTGGGATCAGAGATTGTACGGTAAAGAGGACCAGATGGCGAAGTAGCCACAGGATTGACCATAGAACTCTCCGGCAACTGGTTATTCAACAAACTGCCCAAAGAAATTTGAGCTTGATCAGAGAGATTGCTGGCTCCGGGAGAGTTGATTAGATCGGAAATAGTCCGGCGAAGAGCAGGGGACGATAAGGATGATGATGATGCATTAGAGAAAGTGGCCGGAAGTGGGAGTTTACTGAAGCCAAGAATGCAGCGGTCGCCAGAAAACGTGGTGGTGGAGGAAGATGGAGGTAGAAGTGTGGCCCTCTTGGAAGAGGGTTCTTGGAGGGAAGACCAAGATGAAGGGGACTGTCTCTTGGTTGAGCCGCATTTGTTGCAGGGGTCCATGGAGGAGGAGGAGGAGAAGAGTGGGGCAGCAGCGGTGGTGACGGTGGATTGGTTGTTGCCGGGGTTGCCTGTCGTGGCGGAGTTGAGGTGGAGCTTGGCTAGGAGATTGAGAGCGGTGGCGTCAATTGCAGTGTTTTCTTGGTGATGGGAGAATTCTTGGGAGAAACCAGAATCTTGATTAGCCATTTCTGTTCAGCTCTGTTTCTCTTTAATAACTGTCAATAACTGTTTTTTCAAAAGACTTGGCGGGGTATTATACTGTGAGGCTGATTGGGATATATAAAAGGAGTTGTATAGGGATTTTTTCTTGTTCTTTTTTTATTATTATTATAAATTTGTGGGAATTTGTTGCTGCTAGTTGCTAAACAGAAGAAGAAAAAGGCCATATGGGAAAAGGAGAGATTATTAAAGGTTGCGAAATGGCTAACTTCCATTAGGCCAGTCTACTCTTCTTTGCTTATCCAGGTCATATTACCGACTGGTGTCTACCATGGATCATCGTCATGGAACAGAATCCAAGGGGTCCTATTCTCTCCATAGATCTCTCTCACTATCATAACCCTATGCCATTCGGACGGCAACGGCCGATTCTTCACCATATGCTCGAGATAGTTGGTGATCAACTCTTCGTCAGTTGGACAGAACCGAACTCCAAACGCAAAACAGCTCATCTTGTTAAGATCTCTCAAATGCTTTCTTGATGCGAATTTGTTTCCTAAGATTGTTTTGTCAGTTGTTCTGCCTTCTAATAGAAGGTTTTGTTGGTCTTTTCTCGGGTTCATTCGAGGCTTCTCAAGAACAAAGTGAGGAAATTTGTTGCATGCAATTAGTAGAGGTCAGAGAGGACTTTCCAAATATCGGTTATCCTCGAGAATGTTACTTTCGTTTTCTCGACTTTGTCAATCGTATGTCTGCAAATTAGTTTTCTAACTGCTGTCTGTAACAGAAACCTTCATGTGCGTACCTTCATAGAATTCGGTCTGTGCAACAAGCACACAGACAATCGTCCTCTTTTTAAGTAATATATATATGATTAAACTCAATCCAGGGGGTTGATCTTATACACGCACAAGCCATAGTATCACATAGAAAACGATAGCAGATGATGTATTGGCTCATAATGTTGATCTTTAAACTTTTACAAAATTCAAAGCTGTCAGACAACAGTTCCATTCTTCCCGAGTTCTCGCTGTCTGGCACGTTCCATCTTCCTCTTACGCCATTCCTCTAGAGCTGTAGAAACCAAGAACAAAGGAAAAAAAAAATCCTTTCAGTTCAATACCAATGTCAGCCTCAGTAGATGATTAACATATTCTGAATTACTGACTCTATTATGACCAATCAACCTGTTCATAAATCCCTCTCAAGAACCTGCATATAACATAATGTTGTGCAGAAGCACATCTGACATTGACTACAGCTCAGCATCTCTCTAAGAAGTTCTCCATTGGTTTAAGCGGTATTTGAAATGTAAAGCAACACTATCAAAGATTGCATATACATACTTCAACTTCAAGGATGAGGAAGGAAAAAAAAAAGGCTTGAAATTCAAGTTCTACATGGTGACCATGATGGAGAATATTGTGAATATCAATGCCTTATGGTTAAAGGAAAAAAAATTTTGTCTACTGCCTGAATTTTGATTTAAACATGCAGCAACTTTAAGTGACATGTCTAGTAAGAATTACACTTTACAAGGAACACATAATTAAGCTGCCAGATGAACTAAGACCGATGTGCAATAAAACTATCAGTCGTCGATATGAGAACCAGCTCCCAGAACATATTTCTTAAATATTAGTCAATAAACGTTCTTGACAACTTATAATTAAATACAATGTAGTGAGCCAACCACAAAAAAACTTCATGCACTAATAAAACTATAATCTAGGATTATTAAGTTTCACACAAATAAAAAGTACTTGTCATGCCAAATTTAGTAAAAAGTCCTTCATGAGAACCTTTTTATTGGTGCAATTTCAACGTCTGTGAATTAAACAAAGAATGTTTCCAAATATTTCTCATCTGTAACCAATACATTTAGCTGAAAATGAATAAGAAGCTGTACCCGGCTCCATGACTATTTTATACTGAAATAAACAATTAATGTTGTATGAGTAATGATTGGTAAATTTGACCCATAATTGGGTAGATTTAGGCTGTGATTCCTAACGGCTTATACCTTCTAATAAGCACTAATTTAGGTTAAGAGACACAGCTAAAAATATGGGGCAAAATTTTAGAAATTACCTTTGAGGCTGCCAGCATCTGAATATGAGCGAAGATTATTCAGCCTAGATACTAAGTCCGAAGCAGCACCCTGCTTGGTATCTTTCTGTTTTACAGCCTCTGGTTCTACATGTGCTTCTTTTTCAATTTCTTTCACCTAAAACAAATAGATATTAACTTTTTAGATATCACATCCGCATACCAGAATACTCAATTTCACCATATGAAGATAAACTATCATGTAACCATCACAAATAATACGAACCCATATCAAGAGATGGAAGAGTTCAAGCGACCATTTTATTTCTCACATCTTCTGGATACCAGTGCTTAAATAAATTGTTACAACTGGCAATACAATATGGTAATAGAAGTCAAAGAATTTGTACTCACTCTTTTAATCAAATCCACAGGTATCATGGCACGGCGTATCTCCTCGGATTCCTTAATGTGCCTAAGTAAAACTGCATTTACAGGATAGACAAACATATTACTGTATAAGCAAGATTGCAGTCCATAAAATGTGTTAAGTACCAAGAAAATAACGAAAATTTTCAAAGAGCATCAACATAACTAACTATTTCCAGACAAAGTACTACTACTAAACAAAATATGAGGATAAGATGTATTCAGGTATCCTAAAGGATAAAACAGCTTCCATCTTGGTTCAGACATGATCATTGGATGCTACATTACAATTATCTACAAGTTATATAACCCACATAGCTACATCCGGCAAAGGGTTGTTTCCACCAACATTTCTTACCTATTCTATCAATATCCTCTCCATGAATTTTATTCTTCCCAATTCCTACAGGTGATGGGCTAGAAACTGTTTTACCAGCTTTCGCAAGATTCCCTCACCAACTAAAAAGCTGCTCCAAAAAGCAGAACTACTCAAATCTTATTCCCTTGAAAAAAATGTTTTCTCACAATTGAAGAGCTACGATTAATCATCAAAACACAAGACACCATACTCGCTAGTCATTGGCAGGAAATTAATCAAAACAGTAGCGGACACAAAAACAAGCTGTAAATCTGTATCTTTTTTGAGCCCGTTTCCCATTACCAAACACTCAAAAGAAGTTGATACTCTCAGCCCAGTCCATCAATCCATCACAATCCCAGTAAATCATCACTCAACAATCTTGAAAACCGCAGATTAGCATCATAAATCTGAATTACGTATACTGAAATCTTAATTCAGGATTTAGCAATATTAAATCAGACTTATCCCAGAAGCCCACAAGTTGAATTTAGGAAGAAACAGTAGAATCCACCAATAAAAATGAAAAAAATTGGAGAGAGAGGAACCTGAATTGGATTGGTGAGAAGAAGAGAATTTGCCAAAAGAAGAAGCAGAGAGGAATCCCTGAAGCAAGAAAAGGGCAGTGAGCACGTTGAATAAGCAGACAACAATGGTAGCATGCTTGAAGCTTAGCCATCTTAATTTCCACCACTGCTGGACTTGATGTGCTTTTTCCATCATCAACCCCTTCAATTGACTCCCACAGGACCCTGTTTCTTTTGCCCCTTCAGCGTTTGTTTCTGTTTCCTTACTCCTTACAACCTTTTAACAAAAGGAATACCTTGGAAGTTTTGGAAAATTGCACAAGAACCCTGCTGAAAATTCATAGCCCATTTCGATCGTATTTTTGGGAAATTTTTGAAAAAAAAAATTACTATGGTATTTTTGAGGATGCCATGTATATAAGATAAGTATATAGGATAAAATGGTTATTAAATATTGCATCAAAAGAATATTCATAAATATTGTAAAAAAATTTCCATAAAAATTCATAATCCAAACAACACGAATCTTCCTCCGATTTCATTTAAAGTGTTATGTCTTGGATATTTTTTAATAATGGAGAAGGTTGGATTCGATTGGGTGGTAAAGTGGCAAAAAAAATTACTGTTTTTTTTCTATATTTACCTTTATTTTATGTTAGACTCAAATTTGAATTTTGGATTTTAGAAGGCAAATTTGGAAGCAAAAGTACTAACTTTACAATCTTTTTAAAAGATCAGAATCTAACATTACAATCGCTTCACTATTCTTAAAATATTAGAATCCTCAAATATGAAAAATAAATAAATTTTTTTGAGATGCTGGGAGTAATCAAATGTAATTATACAAATGAGATTCAATTCTAACTTTACTCACCGATTTATAAACTATTACCATAAATTAGTAGCCCTCGGCCACCTTTTTTTTTTTTTTTTTCCTTTGTCCCTTTTTGAATTTGTGGATTTTTGTAATTAAATTTCTACTATATAACTATAGCACCAAATGCATCTTATTCCACCCAAGACTATCAGCCTCTTATTTTTAATTTGGTAAGACAACACATAGTTTCTGGCAATTTTTCACTTCGAACTTAGTCCCTCGTATTACAGCGAAACCTTTTCAGAAGACCAGAACGAAAAAAAAAAAAAGATAGTGGTTGATAGCGGATTGTCGCAAAGGATGAAAGCATGGGTGAGCCAATTGGGTACAAGAGGAAGTGTTCATTTAACGTAAGAGGAAGTTTTCATTCCAATCGAAAGGACAAGTTACTAGCATATGTAGAATTTCTCAGGGGGTAGATGATGAGATGAAGAGAAACCAGAACTACAGATTTCATTTCACTGTCATCCAAGCAGCTTTTGCAAGCAAATAACCAATGAAACAGCATTGAATGCTGCCAGAACTTACTAGCAATCTGAAATCCAAAGAGTCATCAACATCTTTCATTTATAGGAATAAACAAAAAATTAAAAACCCACGGTACAGCCATTACAGTATCTGTAAAGACATCCCATGCATCCAATCTAAAAAGTCATGCAAAATATTTATCAGCCAGCACACCCTTTGGCAAGATATGCTAGTGCAAAAGGCCCCCTCTAAAGGCAGCAAAATACCCCTTGCAGCAGTCAACCCCAACAGGAGATCTGTTTAATCATATTTCTTCATAGTATTCATACCCTATGCAATAATTTGCAGATTCAAAAACAGCAAGCGACAGGAGTTAAGGAGAAGTCAACATTCTCAACACAGTTCAGGATAACAGCAATGAAGATGCTTGTGCCGGTCGGAACCCTGGTACACAAAACAAGTTACAGTACTGTTGCTTTTACATGGTAAAATTCCATCTGCAAGCCAAAAAAGAAAGCATCAGCAGACAGAAATTATGCCCAAACTTATTTTTCAATAACATATTTATCTACTGTACGCTCGGTAACTATTTATCTCATATGTAGAGTGGAACGGCATAAATATACAACCACAAAATCCAACAAACACTAAAGGGCCCATTTGGTATTCATAGTGAAATTACTAAGAAATAAAAATCTTCAATGAAGAGTATCATTTCAAGACAAAACTAACACCTGCGTGATACGCAAGAAAAGCCAAGGGCATCAAAATTGCAAGAAAGAAACAGAGGTGCAAGAAAGTCAGTAGAGTAGAGAACCATCAAAATTGCAAAATAATCTAATTACAGGTACATTTATTTGCACAGTAGAAAGTATAAACAACTTGCATTAGAAAGAACCCATACTTTCCATTGTCATAAGCCATGGTTAAACTAATTATAAGCATTAGGACAAACCATGTACTGTACTAACAGAAGAGCTCAACCAAGAGAGACCCAAAAAGTAAGAACAATAACATTGAGGAAGACCACTTCAGAATTGAACATTGATCAGTCACACTGAAAAAGAAAAATCATCATCTGCTCATGAAGAACAAGCAGAAATCAGACTCATAAATGTTCATGATGCAAAGCCTAGTTTTAATCATCAAAGTTAGGCTGACCATTCAATTGTCTATCTGGGCAATCACATATTTAGCAACACAATGTTCTATCATAATTGCAAGAACCATCAAAGTTAGGCTGACCATTCAATTGTCTATCTGGGCAATCACATATTTAGCAACATAGTGTTCTATCATAACTGCAAGAATCTTAGCCAACAAAGCACTTTTTTTAGAAGATCACATTATTTCCAAAGGTCAACTACATATGTAAAAGCAGCATTAGTGATAGTTACCCCGACTTTAAACATTTATTATCCAGAGTTAAACTTGTGACCTTTTTGAGAACCCAAAGCCAACTGCCAAGTCACTGTTGCAACAAAACGTCAAGCCTCAAGTTCAAGCGAAATTAGTGATAAGGTAACCAAATTTAAAGGGGAGAAATTCAGGTTAACCTCAACACTTTCAGCAAATCGGGAACTACTTCTTCCCTAGCAGTTCAGCTAGATTAAATAAAAACATATCAGAACTTAGCAAATAATGCAACTACAATCAAATAAACACTTTCGATAGGCCTCAGGAAGTTAATATTTCAAGTAAATGCAAACTTGAAGTGACAAAGTACAGTTTAGTTTAATTCAATACCAAATTCTGCAGAAGATCTTGCAGCCACTTTCTGTTTGTTTAAATGACTTTGATAAGCATATGTTGGTCTGCATATGCTTCAAGCAACATGCAACACCGTCCACAACTTCATGGATCTTTAAAGAATCTCCGTTATTAGCTTTACCAAAGCCAATATGAGATTCTTGAAAGCTCCACCATAGATCTTCTTTTCATTTCTTAAGTAAATATTTTATAAAAAATTGAGAAGGGAAGGAACAAGAAGGAAGTGGCAATGCTGATGGAAATCAAATCCTGTTTTAAGAAAGGAACAATGATTTGAGGGTAACTAACTATAGAGATTCTTTAGAGGTTCCACAACTTGGGAAAATTAGCCATGTGATGTATCTTTTACTTATTTAAGTTGCCAATATATTTAGGGTGGTCAATGCAATACAACTGGACAACTTTTGGAAGAAAAAGGAAAAAGAAAAAGAAAAAGAAAAGATCAACTAAGAACTACCATTCCACATTGTCAACGAGGACTTATGATACCTTTTTGTTTACACCCAGTTGTGCTTTCATATATGCTATACATATGCAGAAGAGTTGAAATGAGCAAGTAGTTTTCTCCATTCTTGTATGGTCATCCAAGGTTAGCGTATGGAGATCTCATTACCACTCCAAAGAGGGTTGTGATAAAGCATCGGACAGGGGATCTAAGGAGGGCTACAATGACATAATCTAAAGTACACTGCAGTAAAGAAGTCATTGACTCAATTTGGACTTTTTGTTCTGAGATCTGAATGACTTTGTTCATTTGGGCTTATTTTCCACAGTATGGAGTCATTTCTGCTGCCGGTCTCTATCTGGTTGGTTGGCCTTTGCCACACAGGCCACCTCACTCCCATCATATGATGATATACTAGAAAGAGATCCTGCTCAGAATTTCAACCTAAGTACATGCATGTTTATCCAAGTATAAGTTTTTGCAAATGTTACTCTTGCCTTGCAAACTTTTGTAATTTGCCCCACAGGTTCCATATGTTGCTATCTTTCCCTAAAAATCCACATTCCGGCATTACTTGTACTAGAGCATGCTAATTGTTCAGTACAATTTTGAATACCCTTATTCGTGTTCCTAGACAATCAACAAGTTTCAATGTTTGATTGCCTTGTCTTAGCAACCTTCTTTTTATTTAGGCACTTTAAAGAAGAATTAACATCTCAGCCATTTCTTCATTCAACATTTTAGGACGACAGAAATATGGCGAACACAAACTTCAATAGCTTACAACACTATACAAGAGGCAACACTACAGGGTTGCTGGTTTCCATAACCATAACCTTAAGAGTTTGCATCAAAATTGTCGAGCCTGTATGAACTGGGGGGACTTTAGCACCATCTTATCCTACAACAGCAATTACTGAAGTATTAAATTATGCACAACTGACAAATAGCAGTCAACCCCAACCGCAACACTCAAATTTCTGAAATAACTACAACTTACTAACCCAGAGTCAAAAAATTGTAATCATTCCCCACAAATAACATAAAAGAATTAAAAGCAAATTATAAACTGAAATGTAACTTCTTCACAAACAAAAAGTTGTGTTGAGGTGCTTTCACTTGCTTTTGGAAGAAGCTGATTCTGAGAAATAGTTTTCAAGCTGCAATCATTGTTAGAGTTTAGCTTTTAATATTTTCAAACAAAAAACAAGCTTTCCATATTAAATAGCTTGATGAAAGTATCTGTAAAGTAGCTAAACTAGATGAGAATAAGACCACAATATCAACTACAACAAGTAAATTCCCTTTCCCACTCAACCGGAAAACCAAAAACCAGAAGATGCATCACAGAAACGCATGGTAGCGAGAAAAGGGCCCCTGCATATGTAAATTTAATGCAGAAGTATCCACATTAGATTTGTAAAGAAATGACAAATCAAAAGGTCATAAGCAGTATCTAGAGATACATTAAAGTTCTCCCAGAACATTTAAGTACAAGAAGTCATAGAAACTTTAGTAAGTGAAAATAAGTCATACAACCCATAATTCTTCAGAGTTCAGAGGAAACACAAAAACTACTACTGACAAAAATGAGTGTACCTTAGTGCATTATGGCTTCAAATGGTGGCCCCGCATCCTAAAGAAACAGACACCGAATCCAATTACTTATCGTACATGGGAAGTTTTCCTGTCCACTCATCAGCGATCCCATAATCGAGGCTAATTTCCCTTAAAGGAGGAATGTTCTCCATCGCAAACAACATGAGGTGAGGGAAAGAGACATTATCATGATCATAGAGTACTGGCTGTACCAAAGCATTTGGATTCGAGTTGTGGCTTATGTAACAGGCTACGTTCCTCAGTCTTGATACATCCATTGCAAAGTCCAGTGGAGGAATTGATGGATATTCTGGACGCTTATAATCAGGAAATATATCAGTTAAGTCTCCCCACTCGGCCCACCTATCAGGAAAGCGACTAGGATAAACCAAGCTGTCTCCATTCATGGTGAAAATCTGAGCTTGCTCGCGCGTAAGAACAATTCCTGCGAATTCACAAATAAATGCACCAGCCTGGATCAAATCCAACGATCTAACTCCCCAGCCAGTCTTCCTGGACCTAAAAACTTCCAATCTATTCCTAACACCTCTCTGGCTCACCCGATTCCGACATGTTGCAGGACAACGACAATCTGGCCCACATTCAAAGATTACTGGCTTTCCCTTCAACAAAATCCCATTTTCTTCATATGCAAAATCGCCTCCATTTTTCACAGCACAAAAGCAACCATCAAAACAATCACCCACACAATCGCACCCTGTCCCATTCTTGCCATGCTTGTATACATGGAGCGGGAAGACAGTTGACAGAAGATACTCATAAAAGACAGGTGCATTATTATTATCCACGTCATTAAACAGAAAAACAGGCACCTTCTCGTTCTTCATTGACAAGTCAAGACTAACATACCCTTTTGGCCTTGCCTCTAACGGCCTAGTCCTAAGAGTCTGCGCAAACCTGAGAATAGAGCTACCCATTTCCGGTTGATTCTCAATTCTAGCAAGCTTATACTTAAAAACCCCAAACCCTGATTTCCCCACATCAAACCAACAAGTAACAACCCTATATAAACCATCATAAACATAAACTTTACCACTAACACTGCCCTCATATTTAAAACCACGAATTACCCTTACCTCAATGCCATAGTACATGCTCCTCTCCAGTGCCAAATTCCCACATTCCAGCTTCTGATTCGTACATTGCCTGTTCTGCTTGTCCTGTCCACCATGTCCAGTGTAAATTATCTCATCTCCAGTGTCTACATCATCCTCGTAGCCTCCTGAAACAATCACACTTGTTGCTATAGGCTCTCCATTTGAGCCCTGACTTGCTGACAGATAATCAATGCCAGCCCGAGCCCGCCCATGTAATCCAATTACACATAATTCCATCCTGAAAAAAAACAAATCCCCAATCTCCACGCCAGGGATTGTGCCCACAATCCTTCTATCACAATTTAACCACAACCCACGTTGCTTCAACAATGCAGCTGCTTTTAAGTCCCCTCTAGTCCTCCTATGAGGAACCAAATCCCCCCTATGTTTTTCATCCTCCGCGATAGCCAAAACACGAATCGCATCATAAAGCATTCTCGTCCTTCTCACTAAATTCCTAAAATACTGCAAATCATCCACACTAAGATCCGTCACGCGGACTAACTTCGCTGACCTCTGAGAATATTTCCTCCGCGAAACCACAGCGTTCAACAGCTGGTTCTCATTCTCAGAATTTAAAGGCAGAATTGCTCTCGGGATTTCAGAGTCCTCAAATTCAGCAACCTCTCCATTCCTTTCTTCTCCTTCAGCAAAAGCGTTGCCAAAAAGCCCTGTAAGACGATAAAATTCCGAATAAACATTCAACGAATCATTGAAGGAAGAAGGTACGGGTTCTTGGTTGTTGGCAGTAGCGCTAGGGGTAGCGGGTGTAATGGGGATGGTTGGAGATGGGGTTATGGTGAAAGTTGAGCTGGAATTAAGGTTGCTTGGAGGGTTTACGTAAAATGGCAAAGGCGTTTGATAATGGGCTACTGGGGGTTCATCCAAAAGTTCATCAAGAGGTTCAAGTGTGGGTTCTTTTCTGGGGATAATTAAAGGGTTTGGAATGGAAGCAGAAATTGAGGAAGATGGTGCAAGAGGGTCTCGGATGGAAGCAGAAATTGAAGAAGACGGTCCAAGACGGAGATCCAAGTCTTCAATTGGGATAAGAGAACCCATGTTTTTTTCCTTTTCTTTTTTCACCTTTTTGCTAGTGGAAAAATCAAGCAAAAGATGAGTTTTTTTTTTTTGACAGCTTTTGGGTAGTGAGGTAGTTTGGTGAGATGGGTTTTGTTAGCTCATGAAATTCATGTAAAGAGATTTTTAGGAAATGGTGATGGTGGGAGGTGGTAGGTTTTTGCAGAGGTGTATGAGTTTGTTTTCGTCGAGGTGAGGAGTGAAAGAGCGAGTGAAGTGAGGAAAGGGGCTTTTTGCGAAATGGGAAAGGGATTAAAGGATGGAGACAAATAATACAACCCCCATATAAAGCGACGGAAGAGTTTAAGCGATAAATTTATTTCTCACATCTTCTGGACACCAGTACTTAAATAAATTGTCACAACTGGCAATACAATATGGTAATAGAAGTCAAAGAATTGGTACTCACTCTTTTGATAAAATCCAAAGGTATCATGGCACGGCGTACCTCCTCAGATTCCTTCATGTGCCTAAGTAAAACTGCATTTTTAGGATAGAGAAATGTATTACTGAATAAGCAAGATAGCAGTCCATAAAATGAGATAAGTACCAAGAAAATAACGAAAATTTTCAAAGAGCATCAACATAAATAACTATTTCCAGACAAAGTAATGCTACTAAACAAAATATGAGGATAAGATGTATTCATTTATCCTAAAGTCTAAAACAGCTTCAATCTTGGTTCAGAAATGATGATTGGATGCTACATTACAATTATCTACAAGTTATATAAGCCACATAGCTACATCCAGCAAAGGGTTGTTTCCACCAAAATTTCTTACCTATTCTATCAATATCCTCTCAATGGATTTTATTCTTCCCAATTCCTACAGGTGATGGGCTAGAAACTGTTTTACCAGCTTTCAAAAGATTCCCTCACCGACTCAAAAGCTGCTCCAAAAAGCAGAGCTACTCAAATCTTATTCCCTTAAAAAGAAATGTTTTCTCACAATTGAAGAGCTACGATTAATCATGAAAACGCAAGACACCATACTCACTAGTCATTGGCAGCAAATTCATCAAAACAGTAGCGGACACAAAAACAAGCTGTAAATCTGCATCTTTTTAAAGCCCTTTTCCCATTACCAACCACTCAAAAGAAGTTGATATTCTCTACCCAGTCCATCAATTGATCATAATCCCAGAAATTATCACTTAACAATCTTGAAAACCGCAGATTAGCATCATAAACCCAAATTAAGTATACTGAAATCTTAATTCAAGATTTAGCAATCTTATATCAGACTTATTCCGGAAGCCCACAAGTTGAATTTAGGAAGAAACAGTAGAATCCACCAATAAAATGAAAATATTGGAGAGAAAGAGGAACCTGAATTGGGTTGGTGAGAAGAAGAGAACTGGCCAAATGAAGAAGCAGAGAGGAATCCCTGAAGCAAGAAATGGGCAGTGAGCAAGTTGAATAAGCAGACAACAATTGTAGCATGCTTGAAGCTTAGCCATCTTAATTTCCATCATCAACCCCTTCAATTGACTCCCACAGGACTCTGTTTCTTTTGCCTCTTCACCGTTTGTTTCTGTTTCCCTGCTCCTCACAACCTTGCAACAAAAGGAATGCGCTCGTACCTTGGAAGTTTTGGAAAATTGCATAAGAACCTTGCTGAAAATTAATACCCCGTTTGGATTGTGCTTTCGGGAAATTTTTCCAAAAAAAATCTACACTACTTGTACTTTTAAGGATGCAATATGTATATAAGATAAGTATACAGATAAAAGGATCATTAAGTATTCACGAAAATTATAGAAATTTTTTCTAAAAAATCACAATCCATTTAAAGCGAATCTTCTTCCATTTCATTTAAAATGTTATGTCTTGGATATTTATTAAAGCTAGGGAAGGATTGGATTCGATTGGGTGATAAAGTGGTAGGGAAAAAAATACCCAAATTTAAATTTTGAATTTTAGAAGGTAAATTTGTAAGCAAAAGTACTAATATTACAATCAATCCACTATTTTTAAAAAATTCGAATCTAACATTGCAATTGTTCCACTATTCTTAAAATGTTAGAATACTAAAACGCCAAAAAAAAAAATACATTTTTTTTGAAACAAAGGGAGTAGTCAAGTGTAATTGTAAAAATGATTTTCAATTCTAGCTTTAGTTACCGACTTATAAAACTATTACTATTGTTCCACCATTTTTTCTTTTTCCTTTTTGAAATTTGAGGATTTGTAATTAAATTTCTATTATAAAACTATAGCACCAAATGCATCCTATGCCACCTAAAACTAGCAGCCTCTTATTTTTATTTTGGTAAGACAACACATTTCTGGCAATTTTTCACTTTGAACTTAGTCCCTCGTATTACCTTTTCAGAAGACCAGAACAAAAAAAACCAAAAGATAGTACTTTGGATAAGAGTTTATTTGAATGATTTATTTGAAATATTTACTGTAGCACTTTTTGTGATGTGATGTATGTGAGATAAAAAGATAATTAGGATTTGTGAGAATAAATTTTGCAAACCAAATTATCTTTGTCCAAACAAACTCACTGTAGTGATTGATAGCAAAGAATGAAAGCATGGGCGGGCCAATTGAGGTACAAGAGGAAGTTTTCATTCCAATAAAAAGGACAGTAGCTGAAGAGATGAAGAGAAACCAGAACTACAGATTTCATTTCACTGTCATCCAAGCAGCTTTTGCAAGCAAAAAACCAATGAAACAGCATTGAATGCTGCCAGAACTTACTAGCAATCTGAAATCCGAAGAGTCATCAACATCTTTCATCTATAGGAATAAAAAAATTAAAAACAGAACTCTGCATTTACAAATGTTACAAAAATTTGCCCCCCTTGTTCTCTTTTTTTGATCTTTCAAAGATAAAAAGCACATAAAATGAACTACAACCCACGGTACAACCATTACAGTATCTGTACAGACATCCCATACATACAAACTAAGACTAGGAAATCATATAGTCATGCAAAATATTTATCAGCTAGTCATCCCATACACCCTTTGGCAAGACATGCTAGTGCAAAAGGCCCCTTTAAAGGCAGCAAAATACCCCTTGCAGCAGTCAACCCCAACAGGAGATCTGTTTAATCATATTTCTTTATAGTATTCATACCCTATCCAATAATTTGCAGATTCAAAACAGCAAGCGACAGGAGTTAAGGAGAAGTCAACATTCTCAAGACAGTTCAGGATAACAGCAATGAAGATGCTTGTGCCGGTCAGAACCCTGGTACACAAAACAAGTTACAGTACTGTTGCTTTACATGGTAAAATTCCATCTGCAAGCCAAAAAAGAAAGCATCAGCAAACAGAAATTATGCCCAAACTTATTTTCAATAACATATTCATCTACTGTACATTCGGTAACTATTTATCTCATATGTAGATTGGAACGACGTAAATATACAACCATAAAATCCAACAACCACTAAAGGGCCCATTTGGTATTCATAGTGAAATTACTAAGAAATAAAAATCTTCAATGAAAAGTATCATTTCAAGACAAAACTAACACCTGCGTGATACGCAAGAAAAGCCAAGTGCATCAACATCAAACCTCAAGAGGATGGCAGAAAGAAACAGAGCTGAAAGAAAGCAACAGTAAAGCAGAGAACCATCAAAATTGCAAAATAATCTAATTACAGGTACATTTATTTGCACAGTAGAAAGTATAAACAACTTGCAATAGAAAGCAGCCATACTTGCCATTGCCATAAGCCATTACCCAACCCAGAAAAATGGCCATGTACTAATAAGTACAAAAGGACAAAAAAAGAATCAGGAAAAGCACAATGAAAAAAACTCATCAGATTGATTCCTCAGAAAATTAAGGGAAGACAGATATGCAGCAAAGGAGAAATGCATATGACATCATTCAAAAGCTATGCTGTTCTACAAGAAACATGTTCAGCAAAACCTCTAGAAGTATAAATCGACCATATGCCAGGAAAAGGATCACGTGAAAAATAAACATGATATAGAATTAGCTTTAATGCATTTTTAAACACAACCAAGCTTGCAAGAGGGGAGTCTGACACTGCCACATCAGATTAGCTAAATTGCAAGCCCATCAAAACTTAGTTAATCATCAATCTCAAACCAATTGATGCACTACAAGAGCAGGTAACTAATTCTGACAGAGTTTCATCCAAAAATTCAAAAGAAGATTTTTCGCAAAATAAAAGGGAATAAATCCACTGAAGCAGGTAACTAATTCTCACAAAGTTCCATCCAGAATAATGTGCAAAAGTTTAAGAGAGAGAGAGAGAGAGAGAGAGAGAGAGAGAGAGAGAAGGAGAAGGACAAATTCAAACACCTTCACAAAAGTCAGGTTCAACTAATGATAAGCATTGGGACAAATCATTTACTATACTAACAGAAGAGCTCAACCAAAAGAGACCCAAAAAGTAAGAACAATAACTTGGAGGAAGACCACTTCAGAATTGAACATTGATCAGTCACAATGAAAAAAAAAAATCATCATCTGCTCATGAAGAGCAAGCAGAAATCAGATCTCATAAATGTTCATGATGTAAAGCCTAATTTTAATCATCAAAGTTAGTCCAAGAAACTATCCATCAGGGTCATAAACCACTATACATGCTATTTCTACATCAGAGCAATGATTGTAAACTTCTACTTTCAACAATAAAGGAAAAAAAAAATTATACTTCACCATATTAATGATTTGACTCTGAAAAAACAAGACAACAGGTAAACATACAAATTGGTAAGAACATTAACACATCTTCTGACAAATTGTTACAACCAATATACTCTAAATGTCACATCAAACATAGAGCATGTAGAAAATTCAGATATAAGTTATATATTACACCTAAGAAGCATTTGATTTGATGAAAACAAGTAAAAAGACACTACTTCGAATACTGTTTTCTACCTTTTTGCCATCATGTAACAAGTTCCTACATGTTATCATGAACTAAAAAGCAAAAAAGTTAAGTCATTTGAGATTTCATACACATGACAGAAAAGTATAGGCAACATTTTGTTGCAAAAAGAACCATGTATCAACCCCAAACTGGGTAAAATCTAATTTTGTTAGCATTCTGTACACCCAGGAAGAAAGTGCAATTGGTCCCAACATCAAAAGATTGTCATTCTCCACGACTTTATCACAGGGAAACATTTAATAACACTTAAGATTCTTCCATGACAGAAATTGTAAACACTGTCCTCGAAGAAAAAGAAACGCCTCAATTAATTTGGTTAACCATCACACAAGTAAATCATGTGGTTAAGATTAAGGGACTTTGGATCTGTATAATTGCAATTTCAAATTATCTCATGCACTGAAAGACCAACTCACAGAACTTGTAGAATTGATACTAAATTTTTTGCATCTGTATACAGTAACAAGCTGTATTATGAGTGAACTACAAGCCTTTTTTGATTGGATTTATATGATCTGAAGAAAACAAATGACTAGTAAGTGGAGTGGAGACTTTTATAGACCAAAATCTTTTGTCAAAGATGCATCGCTAAAATTAATTTCTTCTTAGAATCACTGAATAGTTGGATGAAATCAATGAAGTTTATCACAGGAATTCTTGCCTGGACTTCCTTCACAGATCCACCCGTAGACCTTGTGGCCACCCAAGTGCCTAAGTCACCATTGTGACATCATATGACATCAGGCTGATGTCATACATGTTATATAAATGATTTGGGCAATTGGATGGCCACAAGGTCCACAAGTGGGGCTGTGAACCAAGTACAACCAAGAATTTTCTATTCAGCTCATTTCAAAAGTTAATGTGCTAACATCTGCAACTTTAAGCACAAAAAAGGTATTTTGGTGTATATGCTCTATTTCGACTTATATTCAACAGGTTTTTCCATGGTGAAATGGATAAATAAGGCAAAAAGTATTAGAACACTAGTCTACTTCCAAAAGACCACTCAATTGTCTATTTGGACAATCACATATTTAGCAACATAGTGTTCTATCATAATTGCAAGAATCTTAGCCAATAGAGGACGTTGTTTTAGAAGATCACATTACTTCCAAAGGTCAACTAGATATGTAATAAGCAGCATTAGTGATAGTTCTCCCGAGTTTAAACATTCTTATCCAAAATCAAACTTGTGACCTATTTGAGAATCCAAAGCCAGCTGCCAAGTCACTGTTGCAACAAAACGTCAAGCCTCAAGTTCAAGCGAATTTAGTGACAAGGTAACAAAATTTCATTGGGAGAAATTCGGATTAATCTAAACACCATCAGCAAATCAGGAACTACTTCTTCCTTAGCAGTTCAGCTAGATTAAATAAAAACATAGCAGAACTTAGCAAATAACGCAACTACAATCAAATAAACACTTTCAATAGGCCCCAGGAAGTTAATATTTCAAGTAAATGCAAATTTGAAGTCACAAAATATAGTTTATTTTAATTTAATACCAAACTCTGCAGAAGACCTTGCAGGCACTTTCTGTTTGTTTAAATGACTTTGATCAGCATATGTTGATCTGCATATGCTTCAAGCAACATGCTAGATTGTCCACAACTTCATGGATCTTTAAAGAATCTCCAGCATTAGCTTTACCAAAGCTAGCTCCAGTATTAGCTTCTCTAGAGCTAATATGAAATTCTTGAAAGCTCCACAATAGATCTTCTTTTCTTTTCTTAAGTAAATATTTTATAAAAAAAAATTGAAAAGGAA